ATAAAAGTTTTTCTTATTAAGAGTAAAATAACTATTTGTCATGGAATATTTTGAAACTATAAAGAAACATAGAGAAGAAGATAAATATTACCCATACTCTTACTACTCAGGGGAAGCCATTGTGTTTACCTTTGTAATTTTTCTCTCAGCATATAGACACACACTACATATATTTAATATTCATGGACTGGAATCATTGTATGCATTACTTTAGCTTTCTTAGCATTAATAGTTTGAGTATTCTCCCATACACATAAACATTCTTCTTTGTTATTATTTTTTTATGTTGTCATATGCCATCATGTAGTAGAATCATATTTATTTAACTAAATCTTTAGTTTTGGACAATTAAAGTGGCTTCTGACTTATCACTACTAAAAAGAGCCCTTTGATACACATTATTATGAATATATCTTATACATCTAGACTATTTGTTTAAAATCCACTCCCCCCCCAAAAAATTGTCACATCAAAGGAAAGATATGAACCTTTGTATGCTTTTTGATAAATATTTTCAAACTATTTTCCAAAGACTAAACCAGTTTATATCATTAGCTGTTTTTCTGATCATATACTTTCCAACATTTTCTCCAGAATTTTTTTAGCAATTTAATTTCAGTTATGATATATTTTTATGTGTGAATATCTAGTCAAATTTATGAAAATTGAGAACAAGCTTAGAAAGATCACTTCTATGTTCACATTATAAAAATTTTGAGTCAGTTGAAGACTGACTATAGTGTATAACATTTGTTTTTATTGGTTAATTTTACTGGCCTTGACACTTTTTAGATTAAATTTATTGGGTGACAGTGGTTAGTAAAATTACATAGGTTTCAAGTGTGAATTTCTATAATACATCATCTACATATCTCATTGTGTGTTCACCACTCAGAGTCAGTTCTCCTTCCATCACCATATATTTGACCCCCTTTACTCTCTTCTACCATCCCCCTCCCCCCTTACCTTCTGCTAACCACTAAAGTGTCATCTAAGTGTTTGAATTTTTGTTTCTTTGTTTGTCTTGTTCCACTGTTGCCTTCAGTTTTATATTTCACATATGAGTGAAGTCACATGGTTCTCGGCTTTTTGTGTCTGACTTATTTTGCTTAGCATAATAATCTCAAGATCCATCTATGTTGTCACAAATGGCAGTGTTCCATCTTTTTTTATGGAAGAGTAGTATTCCATTGTGTATATGTACCACCTCTTCTTCATCCAGTCTTTTATGGAAGGACACTTTGGTTGTTTCCATGTCTTGGCCACTGTAAATAAAGCTGCAATGAACATTAGAGTACACATATCTTTACAGACAAATGTTTTCAGAATATTTAGGTAGATACCTAGGAGAAGGATTTCTGAGTATTATGATAATTCTATTCTTAATTTTTTTTTTTTTTTTAGCTGAGCCATCCTGCTACCTGTTGGTAGCTCAGCGGCTGCTCAGCTCGGTTGAGCTGAACCATTGTTTCTCAGAGCTCAAACTCTTGAGTGAGCTTTTAACCAACTGAGCCACTCGGCCGGCCCTCTATTCTTAATTTTTTGAGGAACTGCCATACTGTTTTCCATAGCATAGTGGCTGTTCCAACTTACATTCCCACTAGCAGTGTATGAGGGTTCCTTTTTCTCCACAGCCTCTCCAACACTTGTTATTATTTGTCTTGTTGATGATAGCCATTCTAACAGACGTGAGGTGATATCTCATTGTGGGTATTAGAAACAATAAATGAATACAGTAAAGTGGCTGGCTACAAAATTAACGTACAAAAATTCATAGCTTTCCTATATACTAACAATGGAATTTCAGAAAAAGAAATGAAGAAAAAAATTCCTTTTGCAATTGCAACAACAACAACAAAATACCTAGGAATAAACTTACCAAAGGATGTAAAGGAACTATACACTGAAAACTATAAGACAGTTTAAAAAGACATTTAAAAGACACAAAGAAATGGAAACACATTTCATGTTCATGGATTGTAAGAATCAACATAGTTAAAATGGTCCTATTACCCAAAGGAATACACAGACTTAATGCAATCCCCATCAAGATCGCAATGGCATTTTTTTTTTAAAGAACTAGAACAAAAAAAAATCATTAGATTTGTGTGGAATCACAAAAGATCCTGAATAGCTAAAGCAATCCTAGGAAAAAAGAACAAGGCTGAAGGTATCACACTCCCTGACTTCAGCTTGTACGACAAAGCAACAATAATCAAAACAGCATGGTATTAGCAGAAAAACAGACACATAGACCAATGGAATAGAACTAAAAACCCAGAAATAAACCCACATAAATATGGACAGATAATTTTTGACAAAAGGGTGTATAATGTTTTAATAGCATGTTATCCTTTTAAAAATACTTTTCATTTTATTGAATTCCCTCAGGTGGAGGCCGAGACTGCGAGGAAAAAGGAAAAAACGCGCGGAGACTCAGGAGAGCTTTTTCAAGAAGAGAAGTGTCTCACTTTATTCTTACAGCATGTCCCTTTTATACTGGGCATGCTAAACTTTTATACTAAAAGTTTTCCAGAGTTAAACTTTTGCCCTTTTGGAAGTTGTTTTTCTCAGAGCTTTTCTTCCTCCTGATGTTTCTATTACAGGGTACAGCCTGACCTGTTCTATGCTAATGACTAACTTATCCTAACAATGTTTCAATTTCTACCTATAACGGCTTTGTCCCAGAGCAGAGTTCCTGCCCTGGTGCCTAAAGGATGTTTACTACTAAGCAATTATTTCAAACACTACTGGCTAAACAGGATCTTAAGAATTATAAGGTGCATAACTTGTCTATTGCTAAGAAACTATCACTAAGAAACTAACAGCAAAACAGAATTATCGCAATATGTCCAAAACTCACTTATTCAGTTAAGATAAACTAAACAACCAATATAAGAAGGGGTGTCAGATCTTCATCCTACTGGGGGGCATCCAAAGGGGAATTTAAAATTTTTTAAAGATATAAAGCAGTATCTGTTTCTCAGTCAGAGCTTCAGAATTTGTTACAATTGCAGTGCGATTGGCCATGTCAGACACTGAGGTGCAGCCGGCTCCCAACAAATTCCTATACGTCTGTGAAATAGCAGGCGAAGTATTATTTTTCTTTCCAGAGAATGAAATTAAAATTATGTTGAAAAGCAAAATCAAACACAGATAACAATAGTTATCTTCAACACGTATTAATATAATTATCCAAGGTAAATAGAGCCTACTGATTTAACATTCTTAAAAAACAGCTAAAAGTTTGTATACAGAGCAAATAAGGTGTTATATCTGTAATATAGTTCACTAGAAACTACATTTTCTTTACCAGAGGCTTCATCACCACCATAATAGAATGGCTTACTTTACTGTTTGTTTTACAAATAGAACATAAACTCCATAAGGCTAGTTGGCATGCTAAGTTTTCTTAGTGTTTTAACCCTATTGTCCACCACAGTAGTAGATGTTTAATAACCACTCACTGAATAAAAAATTTTAAAAACCACTTCCAAAATAAATAAGATATGCTATGTAGATATAGACATGTTTTATAGACATGCTGCTGTTTTGCCAATACTGGAAAGCTGATGACATAGTGCTCCCATTTACAATAATCATCACAAAATTTAATACATCTTTGGAGTTTTCTTTGAGCCAAGTGCTGTTCTAAGTCCCTTCTCATGTATTAATAAATTTAGTTTCTAGCTACTTTTAACTAAATTTCTAACTATTCCTACTTTAAACAGCTAGTCAACTAGTAAGTGGTAGAGATGAGTCTCAGGCAGTATTTCTCCTGTGCTCTGGCTCTCCACAGCAACACATCCCACTTGCACACTTCATAGTACACGAATCACAAAACACTGGTTTCTAGCATCACTCAGGAGTATATTGTTGTTAGCTGAAGCTGAATAATATTGAATGTCAACTATAATTATATATATATATAATTATATATATATAATATATATANAGAGAGAGAGAGAGAGAGAGAGAGAGAGAGAGAGAGAGAGAGAGAGGGAGAGGGAGAGAGAGATAGTCACCGGATGTTGAGTACAGCAGAGGGCATAGAGTCAATGGAATTGTAACAGCTATACACAATGTCAGAGGAGTAGCAGATTGGGGGAGGAGGGTTATCACTTTGTGAGGGGTGTAAATGTCTAACTATTACATTGTTTTGTACACCTGAAACTAATAAAAAAAAAAGTAATGATAGTATATTATAGTTTGAAGGCCATTTGTTTCATTTTACAGCTGTGGGAACTAAGGGACACTAAGATTAAGAAACTTCTGTATTATTTATCACTAAGCAGTGTCTGGAATTCACATATTTTTTTCAACATGCCATACTAATGACAAAAGTTTAAAGATATCACATATAGCATATTTCCAACTTTCAGAGAAGGAGAATATTGCAAAATGCATTCATAAAATAATTTTGAAGGTATAGATTTTTCCTTGACTGAAATGTATCATGAAATTATGTAGTACCTTATTTCTATTTAATAAATTATTTTATGTAAATAACCAAAATATGTATAGCATTTCTGATCAAGACGCTTTCAGAGCATCAGTTATGAGAACCAATTGTCCTTTTACTGGAGAGAGGATGAGATCAAAATCGGTTCTCAAAAAATGACTTTAGGTGTCTCCCAGCTTTTCTGTAGCTCTTCAGTATGAGGCGATAAACAGTAAAGAAAAAGAAAATAATAAAGACAAAAGCATTTTAAATGACATGAATTCTTCTTGACTAGAATATTTACTGAGCATCTGCTATTATACAGAAAAATGGATATGGCCCTTTTGGAAAATACCCATGAAAACAATTTGAAAAGTAGAAATCATGTTATGAAACTAAGGGTTTACAACAGGTAAGTTTTTAAAAAAATGTTATAAAATTCTCTTTTCTGATTTCCAGTATAACACATAATTTTTAGTGTATTTTAAAACAATGAACACTTCTTAGAAATCATTTTGTTGATTCTACTTTTATTTTAACATACATAAAAGCAGCTTATAATTGCACTGAATACAAAAGACAAACAAAACACTTGATTGCACTAAAACATACTTCACATGAAGTACTGCACATGATAGAATTGATTAGGTGAGACACAGATCTATAATCAGATAAGACTGGTATTCTAGGTTTGAACAATACAGAATTTTTCCTAGTGGGGAATTGCCACATCATATATTGCACAATTTCCAACACTTACATGTTTTACAAATATTCCTCATATTTTTTAGCTTTGTCTTTATCTTTTTAAAACACTATGTATAAGGCTTTAAAAGCAATGAATTATGTACCGTTGAAAAAGACAAGTCTACATTGAAGAAGTAAAAAAAAAAAATGATGACATAAATACATGGTCATCCCATTCTTTTGTGGGAAAAAAATGACAAAAAACCCCAGCAAACTTCTCCAAAGAAGAGAGAAATATTACAAAGCTTAGTTTCATAAGCATTTGTCCACTTATAAGTGTTCTCTGAGTTTAAAAAAAAATTCATTTGGAGTAAATATCTGTGTTACCAGTTAAGATTCTGTTTGTTTACATTCAGTTTTTAATACCACCATCTAACACCTTCAAATAGTGCAAATGCATGGAAGACACTCATTGTTGGTAGTCATTTAACAATAAATAACTCTATACCTAGCTATTTTATTATTTCTGCATTTGAAAAGTATAAAGTGCATTCAAAGAGTTCAAAGTCATTCTTCTCAATCTTGAACATAATTATCAGTCAATCTGTGATGTTTTCAGCTCATGACAGGGGTATTCCACATTGCAGATATTCCTGGAATCTCCCTCCCTTTGTTCCACAGTCTTGTTTGGAAGAAGATTTCCAAAATAATACAGTTTGTTCACAAAGTCTTTGTGGAAAACGTCTGACCATAGAGCAACATCCATCAAAATAAATTTCCTTGAGTTCCATGTTATGATAGTCTATAATCAAACAGGATTCCTCATTATTTGAAGGGTTTGCTACATATCCAGTGTAAATTCTTTCCACATTCTCTGCTGCTGACCTCTGTGCTATTCAGAAATGCACAGCTCTCAGATCCTGTAATATTGAACCTGTCAAACAATAAAGAAACTGAGAATTATTTTAGTTCATCGTTTCCGTTCAGTTACATGAGAATAAACTTTATGGTGGTAGTGACCTTATAGTTTTTGCGCTGAATAGGAATGTATGAGGCAAGTCTGCCCATCAAATGATCATATATTAATCTGGAGAGACAGAGTAGGCAAGGATTGAAAGGGAGAGTATGTGGAAGGAAGGTTCAAAGCTAAGCTAAGAGAAAAGAGCTCCATTTATTCGGTTGGCGTGCCTCCAGAGGAGTGACTCTTGGTCATTTTTGAGTTCACAAACCCTGAAAGAAACAACTCTCAGAAAGTATACACATTTAACAATTTTAGGGAGTTATGGCCCCTGAAGCTGATCTGTGGATATGGTATCATAAGGCACATATTAAGAATTCCTTTTCTAGAGATCTGAATTTATTCTCTGTATCAATAATTATAATAAAACTATTTCAACAGCTAGAAATTTATTCAACTTTGGGTTTTCAGATGACAAAGATTAACACAATACTTATAAAGTGTCCTTTAAGCTTTAAAATGTAATTTATTTACAGGTAATGAAAATAAAGTAAGATCTTTAATTCTGAGGCAAGATTTCTCTCAGGTCCGTAGAAGCCTCTTATTGGATATGAAAATATTGTTCTTAGGAAAAAAAGAAAATAAAATATTGTTCTTTATCCTTATGGAGATGAGAACTGGGAAAGAGTGAGAAGAAATTATTTCCTAAAAACTAACTCATCAGTAAAACATAAATATGAGATTTGAAATATTTGATTTTGTTTGCATCATCATAATTTTTCTTAGAATATTTCTGAGTCGATTATTCAGGTGAAATTTTGCTGAGATCAAATTACTAGAAGCATTAATTGCATGAATACCAAGTAGATTAAAAGAACAAAATAATGATGTGAAATTCTTTCTTAAAAGAATTCCAAAGACTATAAGCATACAAAAGAGATAATTAAAGCTCTGCTTATAAACAGCACAACCTTCCTGTAGAACAGTGCTTTGACAGGAAAAAAAGGAAATGGTTTCCCTGAGTTGCCAGCTGGGGAGCATGAAGAGACATCTTGAAACTTACCAGTTATTAAATTCTTTGTCATTTGACCACTGCCATTTCTGTTCAGCATCTTTTTTCAGCCCAATCCAGTGTTCAGCTCTACCCGCAAATCGTTTTAAAAAGATCTTGAAGAAAGCACAAAGGACATGCGTGTTAAACAACCCCTCTGGGTCAGTATATAATAAATCCTCGAAAACAGTTTCCCAAAAGCTGCATCTGAGACATGACAGCTAAGCTGATCATTTATTAGTTCTATATAGGATTGGCTCATTTGGATTTCTGGACTTTGAAACTAAGCGTTCAAATCCAATTTACAAGACTCAATTGAGCCCTCATTTTGACTGATCATAAGGCTTCCTGTGACTAAATTTTCCTACATGGGAGACACATACAATGTGTTCACTTAGAAGCAAATCACAGATTAGCTAAAAAAAAAAAGCAATATTTTATGAAATTGTTTTTAAATAATATCTTACCATGTCCTTTTCTGAATCAATGAGTGCAAGAGTAGCACCATGTTTGAAGCAAGAGTTTTGGGACAAGTTCCAGTTGCTTGTTAGATTGGAAATAAAGTAGCATTTTCCATTGTATCCGATCCAATCATCTGGGCATGAAGAAATATGGCCATTTGATGGTTCTGAGTACATATATCGGGCTGGACAATTGTATTGGCCCACTGTAAACAGAAAAATTGTTTGCTTTAGTAACAAAAGAAACTAAATACCCACAGTGTGCAAACCTAGTTCAGGAGATGCTGTGCTGTACTTGGTAACAAAGTTAAAGGATGAAAGGCAAGAAGGCAAATTCTGAGAAGAGAAGAAGGCAGGCTCTCATTTTATCTGATCTCCCATTGTGCCTAATCATCATTGTACAAGGTGTCAGAAAAAAGAGGGTGGCTCTTTGACCATAATATCACAAAGTGGTAGGAAAATAGAAAAATCTTAAAAATAGCCTTTGACTAGGAAGGGTAAAGTGCATTATAAATTCTAAGGAAGGTTTAGAATCTGAATGCAGAAGTGGAGGAATTTGAAGATGCAGTAGATAAAACACTATATTGGGAGATGAAGAACAGAATTCTTTGCAGGGAAGTAATTCAGCATACTGAAAGATCTATGACTCTAGATGCTTCATAAAATTGTAAAATTTCTCATTTGTAAAAGACACAAATGATTCTTGGTATAGCTATATGTTCTGAATACCATCTGACAATTAACTCTCTGGGAGCTTATAGATATATTCTTAATTATCCATAACCACCATTCTGTGGCCTTTGAGACAAAAGACAAGAGACTGACCAAGCCCTGATTAATCTATGGCTTAGGTATTATTATTATTTTTTTATCCACAATGAATGTGAAGCCCACATTTTCTTTCAAACATAAATGTCAATTTATGTCAAATCTAAATCAACCCCTATCATTTCAGAATTAAAAATTTGCTCAAATTTCACTTTCTCCCACAGTAATGTATAAATCACGGACAACTTTAAAACTTATAATGATGCTTTAGAACACTTAAAAATATTATTATTAACAATTAATCCAAGGAACTTGGAATTATATTTAGTATGTTTTACTAAACAATAGGCCATGTATGATATATGGGAGGGTCCTATATTAATCTGAATTTCTGATTAATTGGACCAAGTCATTTCTGTTGATTTCAGCTGAGCACGAATGCTTACAGCAAAGAGACTCAATGAATTCATGAAGTGCAGACCTACCTGATAAAGCAATGAGAGCTATGATTAAAACAGTGATGATGACCACATTCAATACAGCACATGGAACAGGAACTTGAAGGGACCCTTCATGATGTGTTACAAAGTGAGGGCTGGTGGCATGAGCTGAAGAAAAAAATTGATGGTGAATTCAGATATACTGTAGAAGTCAGATAGGGACATTCGATATTCTCTTGAGGCACTTAAATTTAAAAAAATAATGTGTCTCCCTATCTTCTTATATAAAATTTATGTTAATTTTCCCCAACTTTTGAGTGAATCTGGATAGTTTCTTATTGGCTAGAAATGGAACAAGCCAGGCATAATAATGAGATCATAAAATATCTCCCTAATGTAAGTACTTAGTAGCTATGATCATTCTAAGTATATCATAATTTTATTGCTTTATCATAATAAGAACATTTATTAAATACCTGATTACCCCAGAAGACATGTAAAAATATCCTAAGCACAATTCCTTAATGTCTCTGTGTTTGAGATGATGAAAACAAGGATAAATGTGGACAGTGTAATTAAAAATATTGAATTAATATGTAAATATCTAAAATTAGCATGGCTGAAAATTAAAAAAAAAAAGATTGATAGTACCAGATGTGAAGCAATTGAAATTTTCATTATATTACTGATGGGAGAGTAGAATGAAGAAAATACTTTAGAAAACTGTTTCTTAAACAATTAAATATACACCTACTCTATAATTCAGCAATTCTACTCCTACGTATTTTCTCAAAAGAAATGCAAATATGTCTTCAAAATGCTTTGTACAGAAAGATTCATAGCAGCTTTATTCTTAAGAGCCAATTCCTAAAAATAACCCAAATGCCTATCAACAGGAAAATGGATAAACAAGTTATGCTATATCCATTATCAAAATAAGAACAATTGCTACATACAACAAAATGGATGAATCTCAAAAAATAATGTTGAGTGAAAAAAATCCAACTACAGTTATACACTGTATATTTGAATTTATATGACATTCAAGAATAGCTGTACTAAACTATGGTGACAGAAATCAGAAAAGTGATTGTTTTATGTGTGTAAGAAAGGTAATTTGAGTGGGAAGGAGGACAGGGCAACTCTCTAGAGTGATGACAATTTCAAATCTTGATTGAAGTTGTAGTTATAACTCATTAAACTGTACACTTAGGATCTATGCAAGCATTGTATGGAAATTCTATCTCAACTATAAATGATATGTACATGGATAAGACATTTGAATTTTTGAAGAGAAGTTAAAATAATAGAGGAAACCTAACAGTATTATAAACCAAATATTGGGCAGAAGTTTCATTATCCTATGTGTAATGTTGAAACAAAGTAAGATTGATTTCACCAATAAGAAATATTTTTGTAGGAGGATTTATAATATGAATATAATGTGAATCATGATTCTTAGTCTCACACACACACACACACACACACACAAACCTAGAGGAATATCTGTTTAGAACATAAATTAATAATTGAGAAAGGAGAGAAGGGAATTTTGTGACTCTGAGTTTGAATTTTGTTTCTTGTTAGAATAAGCTATCAGGATTTTTACAATTTGGCCTGACAAGAAATATAGAGTTCTTTATTATGGTCTCTAAAAATGAAATGTAAAATTGCTACTTGAATGATATTAAGATTTACCGTAAAAAAGCTTCAAAATGCAAAAATATTTTCTGAAAGTCTGTTTTTCAGTCTGGATGACTTTTATTAAAAGCACATATCTTGAAATGCATGTATTTTTTGCCTTAAAACACTTCACTAAAGTTAAACCGAGCAGAGATGTTGCTCTCTTTTGTAGTAATTTACCATGTACTAGATTTCAACATCAGCTTTTGCTTCTTCTGGAAATTGTCTTTCCCAGCATAGATCTGCATTTAGATTTCTCAAGAGATGCCTTTCCTTCACTCTTACGTAGCTCTATTTCTTTCAGCTTTCAAAGCTAATCTTCCTTTTTTCACTGGTAGGCAATTGTCACAATTGTCACTGGAAACAGCCCTTGGTAGGTAGGGTAGCAAGTTCAGAGCTCTCCGTCTAGTTTCACTTCTCTCATGCTGCTTAGACTCAATGCAGCTCTCATTGCTGAGCCAGTACTAACTCGTCCAAATACCTCATGTACTCCAAAGCCTACGTCAGTCTGTTGGCTGACATTACCCATTAACCAATGACATTACCCATTATCCAATGTGTGAACTGTGGGGATGATTCTCAGATTATATTTTATATCCAATAATGAGGGCTATTGTTACTCAGTTTTATTTATCACCTAGGTGACTAAACACTCCCTCAACAGTAACTTCCACTGTGATTATGGGCCTTGTCCATTAATGGAGAAATTGAAAATAACCCACCGTTACATATTGAGTTACCTAAGGGTGATGCCTAATGGTTGTTCATACTAATGAAGCAAAGGCATCATAAACTAAGCATTCAATAAAATTTGGGATTCCCTAAGGAAAAGTTAGGAATTCCTGATTAGGTTCTTCTTCTTTCAACTATGCCCTTTCTAAATTGAGTAATTTTGTTATTATAATTGTTCTTTTTAGCAGCTCATCTGGGTCATAAAGTTACGGTTACCTGATCATCAAAAAACTTGTGTGGCTTGCACTTGTATCCACAATTGATTTTGTGTTCTTAAGTTACAGTTGGGTTTATTGGAGGTAATTGAAGCTTTTCTGATGCAAAGCAGTCTAGTAGACACACACTCCAAAAACAATGTCTTCCTCTAGATTGCTTAGCTCTGCTGTTCATAAAACATCCCTTTATTCCTGTATGGCTTTGCTTACAAATAAACTTCACTTCCTACATGCTAGCTGTGGGGGTACCTCAATAATTAGAGAAGAAGAGGGATAAATGAAAAAAATCAAGAAAGCCTCACAGAAACAAGTTAAAGGAAAACAATAGAAACATTCTAGTAATAAGAAATAGAATAGGTCTGTGGATAGAATAGACAAATAAAAGAGGAAAAAGTATATAGCTAAGATAATCATATTTTGATGAAAAATAAAAAAAAAATGTCTCATTCATGTAGAATTTGAAGGCAGTGATTAGAAGGGTAAAAGAGAAGGATGAAATGGAAGAAAAGAGTCCCATAAGAATACAGCAGAAGATGTCATTTTCAAGGATTCTTTCATGACATTCTCCTAATAAATTATTGTTGGACACTGTACATGTTCAGGTGCTTATATGGCTCTTTTCTCAAAGATTGGAAACCTTCATTTCCAGCAACTGGAAGATGCTGTCGTGAGAACACAAGATAAGGCACACAGCAAGCACACAAAGATACAAGGCAAAGATATGAAGGCAATCAAAATGGAATTGTTTATGTGGAAACAGAGTTTTTGTAAAGAGGGGCATTGCTTCCTGGAGGATGTACATATGGATATGAAGAAATGATGGAGATTGTACTGCACTAGTGCAGGGAGTTTTCTAATTAAACCTGAAAAATTGAGATGGTAGAAACTGAAACAAAGAAACAGATCTTTGAATAACTTCTAAAATTCTCCTTTGTGTTTCCCTCTAGTCTCAGGAATCATCTTCTCACATATAAAGAAATATTCAGTTTTTCCCATTTTCTCCTTTATCCTGACTAAAATAAGATGTAACTCAGTTCTCAAAAAGATAAAGCCTCATTTTATTCCCTAAGTACTGTTATATATCATCTATCTAGTTAGACAGATAGTTATTACCAACACAGAAAAACAAGATCTGAAAAAAAAAAAAAAAAGATCTGACTTACGTTGTTGTCCTCTCTCCAGATGCAAGGAGCTGTTCTCTGTTAGGGAACAATCCTCAGAATTCATCTTTATTCTAGTCAAGAATCCCTGCTTATTCTCAGGTCAAGCCAATCTACAGTGATAGTCTTCACGGGAGCTCTTGTTCAGTGTCTGAGCCTCTGAAGCATCTCAGCATTTATAGTCAGTTGTGTTGTCCCCACCCCCTTCCTCTTGCCTTCCAGCCACTCAACTCCAGTTCTCTTTCATTTATGCTCTAGTGGTCCAGACAATTTACAATGTGTTGTTGTGGTGAGCTGCGGGTTTTCCCTGCTGTCTGAAATATGCTTTCTCACAACTGTAGGTGTAGTATAAAGAGACAGATGGGATTTTCCCAGAATCTTTGACATCCTTCCTTAAATTTGCAGAAAACAAAAAATAGTTTAGGATACAGCATATCTAGGTAAACAATGAACAGTTAGGGGTTCCTATCTTTGAGATGGAAATCCTTTGGAGAAGAATATTTCCCTGGAATCCCATTCATCATTTATTTTACTAATATTTATTGAACATCCACTACGACCCTGACACTGTTTGGGGCTAGAGGATTTATTGTTGAATACACATTTTAAGATCTTTATCCTCATGGATCTCTCTCTAGTGTGGAAGAGTTTTCTTAGGAAACTGTAAATCGGTTCTCAGAAGTCTGTCATTCACTCCTTCCCTGGGGACTAGTTTTTTTTAAAGGTATCATTTGGTAAGAAGCTGCTTTAATGCAGGAAATAGAAACCTTGTGGTCTAGAACTTCCTTTCCGTGTTCTAAAAATGTTTATCTTATCTGTTTCATTTACCTCCTGTTAATTTTTTGTCATGTTTTACTGTCATTTAGATGACTCTTATTTCCCCTCAGTTGTATCGTATTCTGCTGGGTTTTTTTCCCTATCTGCTGGGTTGTTTATTATATATCTCTGAAGTTTAAGACATTTAACATGTGATTACTATAAAAATATATTGCCATGTCAATATCATCCAGATAAGTTATTAAGCTCAACACAAAGTAAATGTAGAATACCCATGTATGATGATTTAAGGAGGGGATCAAAATACCACTCTGGCTAGTAATCTTGGTATAAACATTTTATCATTAAGATCATTTCTTTAGAATAAAGACACTGTTTTCAGAATAAAGCCTTTGTGAAAATATTATGCTTAGCTGGATTGTAAATTATCATCTGTTATAGGTTAGTTAGGTCATCATATTTATTTGTTTACCTAAGACATGAAGAGGTACATGTTGGTCCCAAAGGCTTTCTTTGCTTCCATTCTATTTTTTCAGTCAATTTCCTAGTATGTTTTCCAAATAGCAGCTAAAAGTTTTATTTTATAATTAAGTGACATCGTTTTGGTGAAAAGTTCAACACTTCCCTCCTTCCCCCATCAAATGATTCTTATCAAACCATTTAGTTGAGAAGGTTCATAATGTAGCCCCTGGTTACCTGTCCTCCCATTTCCCCTATTGACCACTTCTCTCTCTAACAATAACCCCTTTGCTGTCCCACAAAAATGTCAAGCGCTCTCCCACTATAGGGTCTTTGCCTTCTTTCTGAAGGGTTCTTCATCTGTTTGCACGTCTTGCTCTCCCGTTAATTCAACTCACTCACTGTTCAACTGCCATCTGCCCAGAGAGGTCTTCCCTTGCCTTTTTATATGTAAAATAGAACCTCACACTCCATGCCTCCACATACTATTATCTTTCTCTACCTCACTTGTCAATATCTGATATTTTATTATTGCTTATCATCTATTTTCCTTACTAAACTATAAGCTGCTTGGGGGCAAGGCCTTTTTCTGACTTGTCCCTCCTGTCCCTAAAACATGACATAATAACTGGAACCTAGTATGTTCTCAGTACAAACTTTTTGAATGAGTGAATAAATAAATAAATATGAATTAATGGAAGAATATGTATAAAAACATAAAAGTTCCAAAATATAGAGTGCTACTTGGAGAGGCTTGTGGGATTGTCAGGTTCAGAAATATATGACTTTAGACTGTCACTGGATAGGAAGTGCACACTTGAATACTGCTGATGAATGCCAAAGGAGGCGTTCAGTCTAGTACTTAAGGGAATAGCTGATGCTCTTGCTAATTTCTTTGGGTTAAAGCGACTTAGTTCTTTTAAGTGTTTATCCTTCTACATTTGGGAGATCTGGGTTCATATCCACATTCTAACACTAATTTTGCACACCATGTTGTGAAGAATGCATGAGATACTATCAGTGTTATAAATCTGTATCATTATTTGAAATCTTCCAAGTCTGAGAGAGAGAGAGAGAGAGAGAGAGAGAGAGAGAGAGAGAGAGAGAGAGAGAGAGAAAATATCCTTACACACACTGATAATCTTTACCATGTGATGTTCCCACATGCAAAGCAGGACTTTTCAGCAACTCATTGGACTAACAGAGAAATCATGACCTAGCTATGCCATTTACTAATATACTTTTCTCTGCTGATGATTCCATATAAGCGTGAAAATCTAATTTTCTTAGCTGGACACAAACTAGCCTTGAAGTTTGAATATTCCAGAACAGTTAGGCAGGTTAACATAATGAAAATAGTATAGATTTTACAGAGAGATAATCATCTCCCACAAATTTCCCTCTACGTTCTATAGGCCAGCTATGTTTACCTTCATTCTATTCTTTGAAAAAGCTAAATTTATTTTTACTCTATACGGTGTTTTCTTACTTTTGTTCTCACTGCTCTCAGATTTTTCTTAGCTAGTTCTTCTCATTTATAT